TTAGCACATTTGTCACCTGAAGAAGGGTTAATTAAAGTTGTTTCAAGTATCTATTAAGTGTAAGGAAAAAAGTGGTTTTGTGTGTGTGTGTGTGTGAGAGAGAGAGTGGCTGCCTTTATCTCCACTACTCTAAATGTGCTTCAGTGTTGGTAGGGAGGGCTAAGTTTGAACATTAGAGAAGTGTATTTTTGTGTCCTTATCATTTATTGAGTGGCCATTATGAAACAGGTAATGAAGAGGCTTTATGTAACCTACTTTGACTTCTATTAGGGTGGCCATAGTGAGTGACTTGTGAGCTGCCTTTGTGTACTAAACACTAACAGCTTAACTATAAAGGACTGTAATAATAAAGGAAGATCAAACAATTTTACATTCCTATGCAGGTGATTTTTCCCACCAACCCCCTCCTTCCACAGGGCAGCAGCCTCCTGCCTACCCATGACCTGTACCTGCTGGGGGCTTCGGTGCACTGACCTCCCTCAGTGGCTGATCTCAAGGCTTCCTGCCTGCAACTATGCAGGCCTCTCAGCAAACCTGTAAAATTCCTTGCTCTTGAAATTTGATAATATTTGCAAATACAAAAAAAATAGGAATCACTCTTAGGGTACTAGATTACATGATTCAAACTGGGAGATTAATTTTATTGTATAGCCGGGGCAGATTAGAGGAGCTTATTCCTTACGGGTTCACTGAGGAGAGGGGCCTCTCTGGTAGCCTAGGGTTAAGTCAACACTATCACTACAGTGGCCCACCACAGCAGCCTGATCTCTATCCCTGGCCAGGAGCTGACCCACATATGCCCCAGCAGACCTCCCGTCTTGCCCCTGTGCCCCTCAGCAGTGTGTTTCAGTAAATCTGCTTGTTCTGCTCCCCACTCTGTCTCTGGTGAAGCCTCTCACTGCCCCTGCACCTCTGGCCTGTACCCCAGTTCTATAAGCATAAATATATAAATCTTTTAAAAAAAAAAAAAATATATATATATAGTAGAATAACATGGAATAGCATAATTTGAAAGTAGAGGAAATCTTAGAAGTCATACAGTCTATCCTCCTAGCATTATGAAAATCACTGCTCTATGTTCAACCCCTTCAGAGTTTAACTCTTGCTTCCTATTATTAAAAGTAGCACCTTTGCTTTCTGGGGACAGCTGGAATTGTTTTTCACTGTTACCACTAAATTTTTTCATGTCTACTTTTTTAAAGGTCACCAAGGAAGAAGGACTGGCTTTGGCCCGGGAATTCAGCTGTCCCTTTTTTGAGACCTCTGCTGCATACCGCTACTACATTGATGATGTGTTCCATGCGCTTGTGCGGGAGATACGTAGGAAAGAAAAGGAGGCAGTCCTCGCCATGGAGAAAAAATCTAAACCTAAAAGCAGTGTATGGAAGAGGCTAAAATCACCATTCCGGAAGAAGAAAGACTCAGTTACTTGAAGATTTGAAGTGTTTATCTGTGAACTGCAGTGCTTAGGGCAGTCCAGTAACCTGCATTAGTGAGCGTGGTGCTTATTCTTTCTCCTGTTATGACCGTTATTGTAAAAGTAACTGATAAAGGGGACATGCCTACTAGGAGTTTTCAGTTTTCAGTGATGTGGTATTTGAAATGTTGTCTCAGCTAATTCTGACATATTAATCCCATGGAGCACTGTCTACTTTGAAATTGTCACACTAGGATTTGATCTGCCAATGTTTTGGGTTCTGTTGTTGGTGGTGATTCATCAATGTACATTATTTATACCCAGGCGAATATGTGTACTATTATGTTTTTGATTGAGTTCACAGGAAGAATTTTTTTGTCATGCTCAACTCCATGTTATCTTTCAACTTTATAGTTTTCTGTGACAGTCCCAGATGGGACCTCAGTCTTTTCACACTGTGCTTCCTGACAAAAATCATAGGTAAATCAGTGCTGAGGAGATCAGTGCTCAAACTTCAGCATATAGCTATCTGATGTTGCAGATTATGGACCAAAGAAATTTGGGAAATCAGGCCATCTATTTGAAGGAACTTAGTGGGAAAAAGTAGAATTAGAACAGTGTTCGTAGTCTGAACCTGGTTTCTCTGAGAAGTGCACATTTGATCCAGCTGCACTGGGACTTCGTAGAAGCCTATAGAATGTAATGAAGTTTTTATTTTCCATTTCAAGGTTTCATCTTTACTTTCAAAGGTTAAAACATTTTGGGAACCATTACTTGACTAAGCTTGTTTAAATCCTTGGTCACAGCAGCTATATCTTTTACAGATTTATTTCCTCCCCTCAGCCCTCCACCAGGAAATAAATGCACATACCAGCACGTTCACATTCATGGCCGCCTAGTGCTCTCTCGGCTTCCCTATGTTATTTAGAAGAGAAAGGTCTAGCAACAGTTTCTTAGGCCCTTTGTGAGACTGACTGCATTTTTCCTACAGAAACAACAGGAGTTTGAGTAAAATATATATGTGCCTCCTTGGCATCGACAATCACTAGACCCGGTGCTCTAAGAAAGCCTGTGGTATTTCTGTTTAATGAGCCACTCTTGAAGCTTTAAAATTCCCATGAATAAAGTTTCTTGTTGAAGGTTATTTTAATCAGGGACCTTGTTAAGTCACCTCAGGGTGAAAAGCTTAGCCTTGACAAAACAGCCTAGAGAACACTTTGATACCTATGCATAATTGATAATCTATCATCTTGGAAATGAAAGAGCTTTAAAAAATGGTGGTGAGTTCTCTGTTTTTGAGTCAGGATTATTTTGCTCTCTGAACATAAGTGTGGAGATTAAGTACAAAAGTGCTACAGTAATGTAGCATATGTTGAACAGTTAATGTCACTGAAGCATTGTTTGTCTACTTTAAACTCTTAACATGACTGTATCACCTCTTAAAAGCATGCAGCTCAATTGTTTTTCTTTTTACAGACAAGAGCGGGGCTGTGATGTTTGTCTTTATAATCAATGGTCTGTGTTCTAGGTTTAAAGAAAAGTGATGGTTGTAACTGTTTTAGTTGAGTAATGGTCCCTTTTGGAATTGTTGAAAATGTTTTTGCTACTAAATAAATCATGTTTTATGGTACTTAAAGTGTCTTTACAGTAAAAGACCCAGAATTTGAATCTATACAGGACAAAGTCTTAGGAGAAATTGTAGCACTTCGGAGAAACATAAAGGTAGAAGAGAAGTACACTGCAAATCTATTTTAACACATTTCAAGTAGCTTAGAGCTTTTTTGAGTCTTTGTTTCTCATTACCAATGACCTAGAGAAAAGCATTAGACAGGAACTTGACAACTTTGTTATTAAAGGATAGTCAAAACAGCAATATCAGAAAGAAACATCTATAAGACCCGAGGAAATTTGTGTATTAAAACAACAAATTAGTGTTTGTAAGACATGATGTATTTCAAGCTTAAGTGTTTAAAGGATACAATATGTGTAAATCACAGGTCTGTTCTTAGTGATCCTCATTTTATAATTTTATAAATTCCAAATAATTTTATTCAGTTGGAGGGCATTAAAGCCAATTACTGCCTAGAATCTTGGAGAGAGAGATTCAGACAAGTTGATAAACATGAACAGTTTATAGCCATATCACATTAGTCAACTATAAAATACAGAAGACAATCTCTCAGATTAGCTGTTGAGAGTTCAAAGGGAATTTAATGTCTTGGAATATTACCAAGAAGTGGGCTACCACCAAGAAGTGGTGTTTGGGCTGGGGAAAGCTTTTCACTTTGAACACATTCATAAATAAATACAGTTTGTATGACACAATAGAAACCTTTTAAACAACTTGCTGGGCTTTTACTCACCTAAGTGGGTGGATAAGTAGAATCATTGCAAAAGGGCAATTTTAAGAAAAATTTAATACCATGAGATTTTATGAAATTTACTGAAAATCACTCAAATTTGAGTTCCCACCTGTTAACAGCACCTGATCAGGTGCTTTGGAGCCTGCCACGCATGCTCCTTCACTCAGCCAGTTTATCTCCTTGGGGAAACAGAAAAAACATTAGACAAGTTTTAGCACATTTGTCACCTGAAGAAGGGTTAATTAAAGTTGTTTCAAGTATCTATTAAGTGTAAGGAAAAAAGTGGTTTTGTGTGTGTGTGTGTGTGAGAGAGAGAGTGGCTGCCTTTATCTCCACTACTCTAAATGTGCTTCAGTGTTGGTAGGGAGGGCTAAGTTTGAACATTAGAGAAGTGTATTTTTGTGTCCTTATCATTTATTGAGTGGCCATTATGAAACAGGTAATGAAGAGGCTTTATGTAACCTACTTTGACTTCTATTAGGGTGGCCATAGTGAGTGACTTGTGAGCTGCCTTTGTGTACTAAACACTAACAGCTTAACTATAAAGGACTGTAATAATAAAGGAAGATCAAACAATTTTACATTCCTATGCAGGTGATTTTTCCCACCAACCCCCTCCTTCCACAGGGCAGCAGCCTCCTGCCTACCCATGACCTGTACCTGCTGGGGGCTTCGGTGCACTGACCTCCCTCAGTGGCTGATCTCAAGGCTTCCTGCCTGCAACTATGCAGGCCTCTCAGCAAACCTGTAAAATTCCTTGCTCTTGAAATTTGATAATATTTGCAAATACAAAAAAAATAGGAATCACTCTTAGGGTACTAGATTACATGATTCAAACTGGGAGATTAATTTTATTGTATAGCCGGGGCAGATTAGAGGAGCTTATTCCTTACGGGTTCACTGAGGAGAGGGGCCTCTCTGGTAGCCTAGGGTTAAGTCAACACTATCACTACAGTGGCCCACCACAGCAGCCTGATCTCTATCCCTGGCCAGGAGCTGACCCACATATGCCCCAGCAGACCTCCCGTCTTGCCCCTGTGCCCCTCAGCAGTGTGTTTCAGTAAATCTGCTTGTTCTGCTCCACACTCTGCGGAATCCTCTGAATTCCTGTCCTCTGCATTTCTTTCCTACACTCAGATCTATACAAAAGTAAAGTAAAATCCTTTTTTTTTTAATATTGAAAGAGCAGGTTTATTAGGAAAAAGGACAGAAGAGCAAAGGACACAAAAGGCCAGGAAGAGCTCTCCCGAAAGGAACAGTTTTGCTAAGAAAGAGGCCTGCATGGTTGCAGGCTGGCGGTGTTAGGAGAACTGCCTTTGCTGAGGAAGGTCAGTGCAGAGAAGCTCCAGCATGGTGCAGGTCAAGGGCAGGCAGGAGGCTGCTGCCCTGTGGAGGGAGAGGGTTGGCAAAAAGGATCACCTGCATAGGCACAGATGGGCAGGATAAAGTAAATTAAAATGAAATCTTAATTGCAGAGGAGAGATAAGATCAAAGAGATAGTCCTGAAATTTCTCCTTTCTCCTACTTCTAAATTCTTTAAGCTCCTAATGAATGTTGGTAGTTTTGCCTCTTTTCCCTAACTCAGTCTTTGAGAAGGACAGACAGAAACCTGAAGTCCTTATTTTTCAGAAGTCCTTATCCAAAGTCCAGAGTGCTAACCCATTACATGATGTGGCCAGGAGTTCCTATGAACTTTGACAAGCACTTGACTTTAAAAGATGGCTCAATACTGAAAATGCTGGATTTGTAGTAATCTTGGATTTGCTCAGCTTCAAATTAAAACATTCAAATTGTCATCCTGTATTTCATCATCTCAGTTGGAAATGAAACGTACATGGTTTATATAACCATACAGGGAAGTAGTTAGAAATTCTAGTTCTCTGACTAAACAGATTATTCACCCTGTCCTTAAAATATCTCCAAATGCTCTCACTGCACAAATTAATTTTGCCTTTCTCCCTTTTTGCCTCACTAAGAGTTGCTGTAAAATGATTAAGCATAACGTAAATTTAAATAAAATAATAAAGTAACTATGTTGGCCTCCCTGGTGGCTTTGAGGTTAAGCCTTGGCACTATCATGCTATCACCGATATTGCCTGAGTTTGACCCCTGGCCAGGGAGGTGACCCACATGGCACAGCAGCCCTCCCCTGTCTTAACCTGCTTCTCCCCTCAGCAATGTGTTTCTGTAAATCTGCCTATTCTGGTTCTCATCCTGTCTCTAGTGAACCCTCTCACTCCCCATACTTCTGGCCTACATGCCAGTTTCTACATGCACAAATAAAAATCTCTTAAAACATAATGGAAAAAAGGAAAGTTGGGATATGAGTCTGTTGCTAATCCTTCCTTGGTTTATTGGTTAATTGTGGTTCAACGGTGTGCTCTTCACCTCTGGCCAGACTGCCCCTGAATATATGAAGAAAGCTGGAACTTCTTAACTCTTGTCTGCAGAAAACACACTATCCCTTGATGGGTTGAGTTGGCTCACCACCTGTTTGGGAGCAAGGGCCGAAATATGACCTGGAGGAACCAGAAGAGAATCTAGCTTTTAGGAACATGTCAGATAGCATAAATAAGTCAAACCTTCTATAGAGTCTTGAAGACCTTTTCCCCTTCATTGTCCAAATGGTGAGAACTGGGATGTAGTCAGTTTTCTTAGACTAAAATAAATTAGCTTAAAAACTTATTACCAGGCCTTCCCTGGTGGCTCAGCGGGTTAAAGCACAGCACTAAGAAGCTAAAGCCACTTCAGCATGAGTTCGATTCCCGCCCCGGAGGTGACCCACATGGTGCAGCAGACCTCTCCTGACCCGCCCAATGCTCCTCTCAGCAGTGTACTTCATTGATCTGCCTGTTCTGCTCCCCACTTTGTCTCTGATGAATCCTCTCACTACCCCTGCACCTCTGGCCTATACCCCAGTTTTGTATGCATAAATAAATCTTAAAAAAAAAAAGCTTATTACCCAGGCTACCTCCCTGGTAGCCTAGGGGTTAAGTCTTAGTGCTATCACACTAGTTCTTCTATGCAAAAATAATTTTTTTTAAATATATTTTTTAAAACATGGTTTCTGCCTCAGAGGTAATTCATTGGGAAGGCAGACAATAAGTAAGCAACAAAGCAGAGATAAAAAAAAATGACTAATTAAATGAATGCATTGAAAGAATGCATTGAAATATATAAGTGGGTACCCTCTCTGATGGTACAACAGGTTAGCACTGCAAGCTGGCCGCAGCCACTTCAGTCTGAGTTCAATCCCCAACCTCTGAGGTGACCCACATGGCGTGGCAGACCTCTCCTGACCTGCCTGCTGCTCTTCTCAACAGTGTACTTCGTTGAACTGTCTGTTCTGCTCCCCACTCTGTCTCTGGTGAAGCCTCTCACCACTCCTGCTTCTCTGGCTTGTACCCCAGGTCTGTATACATAAATCTTAAAAAGAAAAAAAAAAAAAGAAATTCATAGGTGGGATTAGATCACCTAATCCCACAAAGTGTGAGTCTGCTAATCCTAGGAGGTTTATCCAGGCTCCATTCTAAAAGCTGAATCTTATGAGGCACCTTTCTCATCAATTAAGAGCATAAAGCTAGATCACCCTGGGAAGGGTCTGCATCACGAGGTATGACCAGGAACGTTCGCCTGGGGGGCCGTTGACTGATGTATAATGAAGGACCCCAGAAGCTGATAAGTGGAACACCTTATTGATAGGATTGAAATAGAGTCAGGGCTGTTCTACATACCAAGCGATCAACAGATGCACAGTTCCACCTTTTACCCAGCTTCTTTTAATTCTCCCCTTCCTTTTCACTTCCTCATGTGATTAATGCTGTATGACTGGTCTACCAACAAAAAGGCCAGGATCTTGCTCTTCAGCACATCCTGCATTATGTAGCCTGCTCTACGACTTCGGTTTCTGTTTCTTTGGTCAGTGTGGTGTTGCTCGATGTGTCAACAAAGTACTATTTAGAATAGAGAAGTCAAGAATCACGCAGAACTTGAAAACAGGAACGTCAAGGCTATCATGTTGTACACTGAAGCAGCATCAAGAAGCAAATTCGGAGGCCCTCCCTGGTGGAGCAAGGGGTTAAAGCCAAGCACTATGAAGCTATTTCAGCCACTGCAGTTTGAGTTTAATCCCCAGCCAGGGAGGTGACCCACATGGCATGGCAGACCTCTCCTGTATCACCCGCTGCTCCCCTCAACAGTGTATTTGAGTCTATCTGCCTGTTCTGCTCCTTGCTCTGTCTCTGGTGAATCCTCTCACGGC